CTAACAGAACTACTAATGAAGCAATTAGTAAAACAACTAACAGAGCTATTATTGCAACCATATCACTAAAATATACATCTGCTGTTTAGCAAAGTTTTTTATTATTAAATAATGAGCCAAAAGCTAAATATAAATATTGTAATAAATTACTTAGTCATAAAAAAGAAAGCAGGATATCTTACCTTATGTGCTATTTTGATTCTTGTCAGAAGTATCAAAAATTACTATCTACTAGTAGCTTTGGAGCAAATTTACCAAATAGTCAAATATGATTAAATTTTAATACTTCATTAAAGTAACTATATACAAAAGATTTAACTCAAAATGACTTAAAAGATATAATAATCTGGAATAAATTAAGTTTTTAGTTCATAGAAAAGTGAGGTTTCCATAAGCTTATGAGTGGACTATTACCTGATTTTACTATTAGTACAAATATAGTAAAGTAGGATATTATAAAAGCTTATGATAAAAGAAAGTTGCGAATTAAAAAAATACTTCAAAATATTGAAGGCAAAATATCTTTTACTTGTGATACTTGAATATCACTTCAAAAACTTGAATATTTATCAGTTACCATACATTTTATTGATAAAGACTGGAATCTAGTATCTATTCTATTATCATTCATACTACTTCTCTACTCTCATACTAGAGTTAATATTACTAATTATATTAAGATTGAGTTAAACAATTAGTTAATTACTAGTAAAGTAATTATAGTTTATTATTGTAAATTAGTAATATAATATATTATTAAAGTGAAAATAATAAATTTGATGTTAAATTTTTTAATTTGATTTTGTATATACAAAATTAATAATTTTTATATTATAACTTAGTTGTAGACTATTACTCTTAATAATGTATTTTTGAACAATGTTACATTTATGAACTAGTCAATTCTATCTCACAAGAATTATTTATAGATATTAATGAAGAGTATTTCAATAATCATTGCCTTGCTTATATTCTAAATTTTATCATAAAAGACAGATTAAAAAAAATTTCAGACAGTATTAAGAAGATAATTAAATTATGAGAGACTTTTACTATATTAATAAAAAAAAAAGCTTTAATTTTCAAAAGAATTCTATAGACTTTATATTTTAAATTATAATAAAATTATTTTTAATTTTTAAACTGATCTTATTGTATAATTGCTTAGTATAATATTTAATATTTAATAATACATTATAATTATTACTTTAGATTCATGACTATATTAAAGCAATATACACAGCACCAAAGCTATACCAAATATTTTCAGATATTTGTGAATCTGAATTAATAAAACTTATAGTTCTACTATTAGACTGTAAAACGTATTGGAATTCTATATACTTGATATTAAATTCAGCAATTAGAGTTAAAAATATGATCCTTAGATTAAAAAACAGAGATTGAACATTTTCTAATATTTCTGAAAAAGAAGAATGAACAAATGCAGAAGTCATTTGTAGTATTTTAAAACCATTCTATAATTGTATGTTTTTTTTAATAACCTACTAGTATATTTTATTATTTTATAAAAAAATTATATTTTTTTTTTAATAACTAATTTATATTTTTAATAAAAAGTTACTTTAAAAGTATCTACAAATTCTTATCCAACTTTAAACAATACTTTTGTCTTAGTTTGGAATACTCCAACCAACTTCTGAGCATAAAATCTCATTCAAATTATTTTATCCAAGATATTTGCAAATCTATGATTGAAAAATTTAATAAATATTGGGAAGAGAATAGTCTTTTACATATAATCATATGTATTCTTAATCCTCAATATAAAATAAAATTCATTTCATATTATTATCATGAGAAAAAAAAATTTGAATTATATGAATTGAAAGAAAAACTACAGAATATTTAGACAAAGTATATATATTAATTAGTGATTTAATTAATGTTTTTAGTTCTAATATTTTTAGGCAAATAGATTTGAAGATATATATCTTTGCATGTATTACTTTTTGTTAAATACTAAACAATATCTCTTGAATAATAAGACTATTTCTAATACTGAGAATTATGTTGATAAATTTTTTGAATATGCTACAAAACAAAACTGGGTTAGTAAAAATGAACCACTTTTTGAAGTAAACCAATATTTAAAAGAACCAATTACTGCAAAAACTACTAACATTTTTAAATAGTAAAAGTGTAATAGCAGTTAGCTTCTTTCTTTGTTTGCAATAGCTCGAGACTTTCTTGTTATACCTGCTACAAGTGTTATATCTGAACAGATGTTTAGCTGTATAATCGAATTATTGATAATAGTCATACTTTATTGGATCCAAATACAATAACTGTATTAATGTGCTAAAGAAACTGGTTAGATATAGCTGAAAAGTTTGGTTAGAATTTATAATTTGTTAAAATTATTAATAAATTTTTTTTTGTTTTTTTGTTTTTTTTTTTTTTTTAATTGAATAGTTATTGAAAAACATTGTTTTTAGCCTATTTGACTTATTTTTATTAATCTACTCTAAGAATTATATCATTTTTGACTAGAGATATACCTCGCATGAAGTTAAACTAGTATATATTCACAACTTCATACAAAGCTATATTATATGATTTTATATGAGTTATTTAATAAGTTATTTAATTAATTAAAAAAAAACTATTAAATTGATAGCTAATTAAAATTATCTTAATTGAATAATTTACTTTACACAAGGTTCATTAATTTGTAGATATTAGAATTTTGTTATCTTGTATAAGGTATATATCTACTTTTAATCTATATGATATATTATAATCATTAGTACCAAATTACTGTTTTTAAAAGGTAAAAAATATATTTTGAAAAAGAATATACAATATTATAATTGCAATATTATATATTATGTATTTATTTGATTCTGCAACTATTATAGTATTTAAGAAAAATATTTTGTAGTAATTTTTTAGTAAAAAATTTAATATAAATAAGTTCTCAAGTAGATTTTTTAATCTAAGAATGGGTTACTTCTTATATTAATTAAAATTTTGATATAGTAAAGTTATACTCAAAGCCAGTATATATATTATAGTGAATTCAGAATATTAGTGAACTTAGAATCAATTTAAGTTGATTCTGAATTATAGTTGTTAGGTAAAACTATGTGATACTAATTATCACATAGCTACAAATAGTAACATATTAATAGAAACTAATATTATTAATATGTGGCTATGTGATAATTAGCAATATATAGTTTCACCTAACAACTATATTCTGAATAAATTTAAAGTTCTAAAATAACAGGTTTGAAATTGAGTATTTCAGAAATAACAAAAATATTTTTAGTTTCAGAAAGTATTATTCAATTTACTAGCCAAAAATCAGCAGATATGAATAATTCTTATGAAATATTAATACTTAGTTAATACTTTGCAAATAGGAAAATCTTAAAATAAAGAAATAGTAATTAATCGTTAAAGTTTTGAATTTTATTTTAAATATGATGAGCCAGTTCTTCTTCTATAATGCTTCCTCTTTAGCTTTACTTTTTAGTCTGATTGGTTATATAATCTATATCAAATTTAATTTATAATTAACAAACTTAAATATATTATAAAAACTGACAAAACTCAAATATTAAACCTGAATCTTTTACTTATATCTATTCAAATTAAATAGTTAGGTATAAAAGTTTATTTAAACCTAATATAATAAAGTAGGTTACTTTAAATTTACACTATAATTACAGTATACATAATTAAAGTTATAAATTATATTTGATTATTACTATTACTATATTTTTAATAACTATTTTATAATATACAATATGAAATATTTAGGCCTATGAATAGTTTATAAAGTATTCACAGCTCATAGGCCAAACAAGAATATTATACTTTAGGCTCTAGGATAATAATAGAGCTTAAAATATATACCTTATATAAGCAGGTAGAACTAGAGTATTGCTAGTACTTAGTCTTACTTAGCTTATGCAAAAGCCTAATAAAGCACAAAATAAAGAATAGGAGTACTATAAAGCAAAGCTAGATATTACAATTATGAAAAGTTAGCTAGCACAAATAGTCTAGAAGCAATTGAAGAATATTGTAAAAACAAAGATATTAATGAAATCTGGAATATTATATCAAGTAGTATTATTAGTAGTATATAAGTAATACTTCTAAATAAAAAGATCACTATTTGCAGTACTCCTATAAGAAAGACAAATGAAAGTGATAAAATCTCTAAGGATTTAAAATATCTTGAAAAAGTCTGTTATAGATGCTTAAGTAAAATAGATCTCTTAATAATAGCAGAAGAATATCTACAGACTAATAAAGTACTTACTGACTTGAACAATAAATATAACTTTCAAATAGCAAAGTTAACAGAAGGGCTTTGGTCAGATGAATTAGCAAAAGACTTCAAGAGTTAGTAGAAGCTGCTTAACCTCAAAGTTTAGCAAGAAAGAAAAAGAGAAGAATTAGTGAAATTAATAAGTATATAGAGTGCTGCTGCAAAGTAATACAAGAAGAGCTCAAATCTATGCTTAATAGCTTGTTAGAAAGAATATCTAAAAGAATAAAAATTAATAGAATTATAACTACAGTTGGTAAGGAAGAAGTCCTACTAACAAAAGAAAAAGAGATCTTAAATGAAGTAAGAGTGCACTTTATAAAGCAATTTAGAGAAAAGAACATTAATTAGAATAGTCTAGCTGAAAGATAGATTAGTATGTACAGTCCTATTAAGAGAATAGATAGTAGTATCTATAGAAATCTAGCAGATAAAGTAATAGAAGAAGAATAGCATAATGTATTTAGCAAAGCAAAGAATAAGTCTGTATCTGATATATCAGGAATTAGCTACCTATTGATTTGAAAGTTAGAGCAAAAGATATAAAAAGTATTCAGATTACTAGCAGACCTATGTATCACCAAAGGTAATATACCCAAAAAAAGGAAAGTAGACCAATTGTATCTAATTCTAAAAAGTGAAGATTGGAATTACAACCTAGTAAATATGAGACCAATTGTTTTATTAGAAGTATTTCATAAAACAGTAGTAAGAGTTATTACTCAAAGACTAGACTAAATACTAGTTGAATATAAAGTACTAGAAGGCTCAAATAATGCAGGTTTGTTAGGTAATAGTATCTCAAGTCCTATTCATATTATGAACAATTTGATAGAAGATACGAGACAAAAAAATAAAGAGATGTAAATTTTATTTCAAGACATAAAAAAAGTCTTTGACTTCATAAGCTTAAAAATGATAGAAAAAGCTTTAAAAAGAATTAAAATCTCTGAGATAATAATAAAATTCCTTATTAACTTATACAATATGAAAAAGATTAAGGTTATCACAGAGTATAGCCTTACTAAAGAATTTGAAGCAGAAGATAGACTTGACCAAAGAGAAGTTATTTCATTTATGTAGTGTATATTCTATAATCCTCTACTTTGCATAGTCTGCAAAAAAAAAGATTTAGAATATAAAATAGATCTAAACTAGCTCTGTAACCTAATAACAAACAAAACTAGGCTATCAAGCTAGCAACAAGAAGTACTAGCATATGCAGATGATACAACTTGGCTAGCAAGATCTAGAGAGGAAATGCAGAAAATAGTAGATATTTCTTCTGAATTCTATGAGTTAAATGATATTGAAATCAATAGCAAAAAATCAAGCTATTGGTTTTAAATAATAGTCACTCTTACAAAAACAAGAGCAGACCTTTAGAAATAATAATAGAAAAGTTTAAGGAGCCAATACATGCCAAACAAAAAAAAGAAGTTATAAGACATCTAGATATCTGGATATCTAAAAATAAAGGAAAGAAGTGTAATGAGGAAATTATCGAAAAAGAAGTCACAAGAATATGCAAAGCAATAGTATAGAAAAGAGTATCTATAGGCTAGCTAGTTTACCTAAACAATAATATACTTATACCTAGTATTGAGTATAGGCTTCAAACAACATTCTTATCTAAGGCAACTTGTAAGTGAATTCAAAGACTAATTTGGATCTTAATCAAGAACAAGATAGGATTAGCAAAATCTGCTCCAAATAGCATATATAGCTATATAAAAATTTTAGATCTGAGAACAATCTAGCAGAACTAGCTAACATATCATATTACAGAACTATCAATACATTTGAACAAACAAGATAAGATAAGACTTATTATGAGACTAAAAATAAAGGAAATACAACATAAATATATATATTTAAACAATATTCTTAGTAATAGTAGTAAGTTAGACTACACAAACCTTAAGTTTAACTTAGTATATAAAGTAATAAGTGAAGGAAAAAAACTAGAATTCAGCTTCTAAGAAAGCAGCTATTATGAAGAAAACTTAGAGTTATCAGACTTATATATTTCAAGTTTGCTAAAAGAAAAAGATGTGTCTAGTGATCTTAGTATAGTAGTTAGGTTGCCAAACTACTATACAAGAGGTTTGGGGTTCAAATCTCACTGTTGACGAATTTAAATAATTATTCAGACCTTTGTACCTAACTTATGGTAAACTCTGTCTGTTTCTGAAGTTGTAACTCTGTAAATCACATTGCACTAATATCATCTGGAAATTGGAAGTGTGATAAAGCATTTGGTGAGATATAATATTATACTAATAAATCTTAATAGGATCTATGAACAGAGAACCTACATAGTAGAAATCCTGAGTTGGTGAAGTAGTATAGCCTTTAATGGTCATACTAGCTAATACTTGTTCTAGAAAGGAAACTATCATCAAAAGATGTAGATCAAGTCAGATATGCATAAATCTGGTCTACAGAAAGAAACAGTAACACTAACCTGGCTTAGCAGCTAACTGAATTAGGAGGATCTGCCTCATAAAATATCTAAGATTATAGAATACAAAAAACTAGTAGAGAGCTATAGTAGGAACTGGGGTTATATGAATATCTACAAAAGTCTAAACTAGGTAAATTCATAAAATAGATACTGACCACTCTAGTAGGTATGCTTTGAGGTTAATTAGCTTTGCAATACCTACAATATATTAGATATAATATATCCTGAGAGAACCTAAGCTATTCTGGATAAATAGATCTGTAACGAGCTAGCTAGCTTAAGCAGTTAGGAATTGCAGTGATATTAGGTTAGATCTGTATAAGTTAATAAACAGAGTATATAAATAGGTAACTTATAGGTGGGTTACAGATATAGAAGCATAG